ACATACATGAAATATAAAATGCAAGAAATGCGATGCATGATGTATGCAATTGGAGGCATTGATCCAGAAAAGTGTTCATTATTATAAATAACCCTTGTTCAGACAAAAATGTCTTATCTTTTAAGAGACATAAAAACATATTAAAGGTACATTCGGACTAAATCCTCTAGACCCCGAATAGCTTCCAGTAGGTTGACAAGTCTTCTGCCTTCATCTGTCACTGGTTGAATGCCTTGTCGAACCACACCAGCTTCCCTTGCTAGGCCGTGAAGATGACGGGCTGCTTTTTGCACTTGATCCAGGAAATCTCGGATGGTTGCGTCTCGGGCCCTCACCCTTCGCTGTGCTTGTTCCCAACGGAAACGCCATTGTAATCCTCCGTCGAATGGCACTATCTGAAGCTCGTTTTCTTGCCTCTTGAACCCATCTACAATAGCTTCTAACTCAGCTATTGTATTTCCATCTTTCTCATGTCGTTTTTCTAAGTCAGCTATCCGAACTCTCAAGCGCTGGTTCTGATATTGACTATCTTCCAAGCGTCTTTGGGCAATCTTCATTTGTTCTTTCCAAGCTTTCTCATCAGGCCCCTCAAACTTCCTTTTCAGGCTATGAGCTTCGTCTTTCCAGTATTCAGAGGTTACCTTCAACTTGGAGTTATCCTTGACCTTATCTTGATACCCCTTCCTCAAGTCTTCGAGCTCAAAACGGACTCTTTTTTGTTCTTTTTCCAATTTTTCTGCCCGATCTTTCTGAGAGTCAGCATCAAGCTTCCACTGATAACGTTCAGCTTCAAGTTCCTTTATCCTTTGCTCCAGCTCATTATTCACTGCTTCAAACTCGGTCTTGGCTATCTCGAGTTCAGAAGGGACATGCCTGAGATGTTCTTCCATGGTCCGGGTGTCATCACAGTCTGGCACAGGGATGTTGTCATTCTTTCTTAATCTTCGCCACTCCACATAATCCGGAGTGAGCATGCTTCTGGCAGCTACAACATCCATCCGGAATACTTTCCTCCACGAATCGGCCGCTTCTTTGATCATCTTTTTATAGCTGTCACCGTGATACTCAAACTCTGACCTAGCCAACCCGCACGTTGCTGGGACAAACTGACGTGCTCCATATTGTCTAAGTGCTAATAGCGGAGCATACCCGACTGCTCCCCAAAGTCCAAGTAAGGTCACAGTGTCGGAGTCACCACACCGAAAAAGAACATCACTGAGGAATAACCAAGGGGCTCTCCAGACAATATCTCGATCTTGAAGATGCGTGAAGACCTTCATCCATTTTTCTTTCGAAGCGCCTTCATGCCATTTTAAGGTAATAAATTCACCTAGAGGTGAATAGGTGGTGCTGAAACGGCGGTAGGCAATCCCGTCAGTCTTCCAGAAGTGGCTGTGAATCCAGACCTGAAGGAGCTGAATGCACCCGGTGAATCTTCCTCCGCCAGTTCTTCGGCAATGGTTGAGCGATCGAAAGGTCTCGGCCAAGATGGCTGGTGCTGGGTTAACTCGTTTAGAAAGTTGCTCAAATAATTCCACCACGGCATCGTCAATGCACCCCAAAGCCTTCGGAAATATGATTAAACCGTACAGACCCAGTGCAAAAAGGTCTATAGTCTTCCACTCATCAGGGTGGTTTTTCATTAGTTGCTTTATATGGATCCACTCGATTCCTTCCCCGCTACCTTTGTGCCGGAGTCGATCAGTCACCCACTTTTCATCAACCCCTGCAATCTTGGCTAGTCCGTTCTTGAAGGGCTGACTCTTGATATGTTTAATATATGCCCTTTCTAGTTTGATGCTTTCGCAGTGCAGTAGAGTAGTATACTCTTCGATAGTAGGCACCATGTCTTCCTGGTTAAAGGTGAAACAACTATATCCCGGGTTCCAGAATTGAATTAATGCTCGGAGTAAGGGCTCATCAGTCTTGACATGGAGCAAGAGGGTGATATCACCATATCGTTGGCTGAACTTCTGCTTTCTGTCATTCTTCCAACTGTCCCAAATGTTTCGCAGCTCTTGGACATCATTCTGTTTCAGGCTGACGGCGGCATAACTAACCAGTTCTGACACATAGTTTCCCTGAAGACTGTCTCCCTTCTCTTTCTGAGCCTTTTCGGACCATAGTCGTGCCTCAGCGTTTTCAATCTCTTGTATTACAACACCTTTGTCCATTAATTCGAATTATTTTGTGTATAACAAACGCTTTTTAGGGATCAATAGCCTCTTGTAATGATGCAAATGCTAGAAAACAAACACAAAGGCAAAAACGTTAGTAAAATAAAAATACAAATAGAAAAATGACGGAAGGAAAAAGCGCAAAAAAAACATGGATAGGGTAAAAATATCCTAAGTTTTGGAACGTGGTTTCGGGGTAGGCTCTAATTCTTCATGGTCTCCCGGTTTAGGTTTTAAAAAAACGGTACCCGAGTTCTCCTTGTCGGTGCCCCCTTGGGCTTGCCAGACCCTTAGTCCCAAACCCATCACAGGCTTGTATGGACTAAGTTAAACTCGATGGGACACATTCCCTTATGCCCGCACGGTGAATAAATTCACACGAAGACATAAGATATATGAATCCCGAAGGCTACTTGCTAGGCCCGCACGGTGAATAAATTCACACGAAGGCGTCGCTTTCACCCCCACTTAAAATAGGAATTGGAGCTCGGGTATAGAGCCTTAGATGGAAAAAAACTTTGAAGTCTGAAATCATGAGAAAACGATTAGTCCAACTATTTACTCGAAAATATAATCAAAAGTAAGTAAAAAGGATCGAAATATTACCTTAAAATTTAAACTTACCATTTTCGTTAAAAAGACAACTGGAAATTACCTTAGCCTGACTCACTTACGTCCCCAGCGGAGTCGCCAAGCTGTCGCAACCGTCTTTCGGTTGGGCCCCAGAATTGGGCTTCGACTTGAAAATTGTGGATTGGAGTCGCCACCGATCATTTACTTAAAAATAAATGGGTTGATCGGATACCCTATTTATTACCTGATCTACGTCTTTCCAAAGATGTGTCGGGTTCGGGAGTCGGTTACGGTTAAGGAAGGATTAGCACCCTTGAACCGTCCTTTCGGTACTACGCACTTTCCAGTTGTCTTTGATTAAGAAAATTGCATTTTAAATTAAAAGGTAAAATAACGATCCAAAACTTACCTTTGACGGATTTAAATCATGCCTTTTAAAGAAAATCATAAAACGTTAGATGAAAAGTAAGGAATAAATGAATAAAATAAACAAACCCAAAATAAAACAGAAGAAAGAAATGGTAAATAAATGACTTAAAAAAAATAAATAAAAAAGATAAAACAAACAAAAAAATAAAATAAGATAATAAACAAATAAAATAAACAAATAAACAAATTAGAAAAACCAAATGAAAATGAAAAATGAAAATGCAAATATTAAGTAAAATAAAAATAATAATAACATAATAAAATATGAAAAGAATACTAATATATAGTTATTAGGTAAAAATAATAATGATAATAGTAATAAATAGTAAAAAAAAATTGAAAATAATCCCACCGAAAAAAAGAAGTCTAAGTTTGGTGAAGCATGAATAAGGGGAAGAAAGGAAAAAAAGAGAGAAAGTGGACCCTAGCTAATAAATGTGAGGTGATGTATATATAATAGAGTGTTTAATAAAACATGTAAATATATATATATATATATATATATATATATATATATATATATATATATTAGTTAAACAAAATAATAGGTAAAATATATATAAATAAATACCTAAAAAAAATAATATATATAATAATAAATAAAGAAAACGAATAAAGAAAATTAAAAAACGTATATATATATATATATATATATATATATATATACATACATAAATAAGTAAAAAAAATAGTAATAATAGAAATAATAAGGATAATATAAAGAATAATAATAATAAAAATAAAATGGTAAAAGAGTATAAAAAGAAATAAGTAAATATATACATATATATATATAATAATAATAATAACAATAATATTATATATATATATAATAAAACGTAATATATAAAAAAAATTAAAAATACGATTGAATTTAACAGGGACCAAATTGAAAGTAAACGAATTGAGTGGTCGAATAGAATAACATTGGAGTTTGAGAACCGGATTTGGGGATCAAAATAACAGAATTTTAAAATCGGAGGGACCAAAAGCGGGTTTACCCTAATTTATTACAAAAAGCACGAATCTGATATAAACATGGATCAAATGTTTTTTTAGTTTCATTTTCTCTTCTTCACACCGAGAGAGCCTTCTCATTCTCTCAATGTTCCTCTGTAACGTCCCAGATTCCGGCCGCCGTTGTCGGGCCGACCGCCGCTCTCGGCGGCAAAATGTAAAAAGTTTTCGTTTTTTTGAAAGCTCTTCGTACACTCGTTCCAAAAATATCCATAGTTATGTTAGATCAAGCCTCGAGGAGAGTGGATCTACGAACGGAGATTCGAAAAAATCCCCACCTCCTCTGTCATTGGCTTCTTGTTTCGAACCAACAAAGAAAGAGCATGAACGACACACATGCAAGGCAACGAATGAACCGAAAGCAAGGTAAAAGAGAGAAAAAAAAACCTCTTTTATTTCTTTTCGAACTATGTACAAGGCTTGGATTTATCTCTGTTTTTGGTATTTCTCGTGCAAATCCTCGGTGAAATCGTGTGTGATATTGCGTACAGCCGTGTATGTGCTCACGTGTAAACTCTCTCTGTAAATCTTGTGATTTTTTTGCCTCCCCCCCGAAAACGGGTTTGATTACACTTATTTATAGTAAAAAAACCTATTTTTAGATTTCATTTGAGTCCTAATAGGACTCTAGCATTTGTTGGTTGTGGATGAGCCTTGCGAGATTCTTGCGTCGCACGTTCCGGGGTTGGAGTCTCACATATCCACGAAGGTGGTTTGTTGCCAGGAATTACGGGGGAGAGGCGTGACCAGTGAAGACTCGTGAGGCATGGGGTCTTTGCATGGCTGGAAACAAGGGATGCGGCGCTAGGGTTCAACATGGAAGCTGATGATCATCAACCGGGCCTTCTGTTGGATCCTCTTGTATTTGCCGGGCCATATGTGATCTTGAATTTGGGCCCGACAGACTGCAAAACAAATATATATATATGTAAATACGATATATGTAATAAAATAAAATATATTATATAATATAAGTATATTATATAATATCAAAAAGACAAAATCTGGTGTCTTCACTGAGAATGGCTGCTTGCTCAGTATCGGTGTCTGTCGAAGCCAACAGCTGGGATAACCGGTCGCTTAAGCCCTCCACCTCACTGTGTAAGTTTCTGATATAGTTGCAAGTCTCTTGCAACACCCTAGAAGCATTTACCTGGACATAAATTAAAAGATTATTAAAAATAACATGGTTTTTTCTTAAGAATAATTATGAGGTTTCCTTTGTTCTGTTAAATTTTCGTTGATAAGACTTGAGTGTGATAGCTATACATAATGCATGCTATAAGGGAACAGCCCGAGACCTACATCTCAACTTGTTTCAATAGAATAGATGTGACTTATCTACAAATTGGAAGTGAAGCAAGGCCACTCAAAAAGAAAAGAAGAGAGTGGGAGTGTTTGGCACCTTGTCGGAGCGCCGTTGACGGAGCTCAGGGATAAGCCGTTGCAAGTTTGATACAAGAAGGGCAATTTGATCATCAGTGATCCTCGAAGCACCAGTTGATTGCCTGGAACCTGATCTTCTGCTTGACATTGTGTTCAATGTACAGCTTTTACCACAAGCTAAGCTAATTATGTTGCGTCGAAAAACACACAAATGCGGGTGTTTGTTTTTTCAGAAAAGAAAACCCTAAGAAAAAAGAGACAAATTGCATGGAAGAAAGCAGTGGACTATGGAGCTTATTTATATAGGGCAACCCTCGCCCTAAAATGCATTAAAAACAAGGGGAAAGGGAATGAAGGAAGAGAGATACGCCATACCGTCCTTCGTCCCACATAAACTTAGGGTAAATATAAGCAAGTGGGTTAAGTTAGAAGGGGAAATGTGGTGGATAAATCTCCCCAACCACGCACAAGCCCACGTTATCCTATTATTTCCTGACTTCCTGTCTTTTCAACTATACTCCCATTCATTCTACATTCAATGTACTCAACATTATTATTATCCTATCTTTTTAATGAAGTGTTTTACATATAAATTTATAATACAGCGTTTAACCATTATATATAACCTATAACCTATATATATTGGACTTGAATATAAATTATCAAATCATGCATTTAACTAGCGATAAAATCAGATTGAAAATAACATAGCTATGGATGGAATGGAATGTGTTTTGGCATTGCAATTGGGACGAGAAAGTCGCAAAAGAGTGGAAAAAATTACAAGCATGAGGTATACGAGGGGCCGCCATTGTTGACAAGTCATCCAGATTTTATCACCTTCCCCTTCCCCTTCCCCACTATAATCTCACCCATACTTTTGGTCACGACATGCCACGTGTCGTCTCCTTGCCTATTTATGCACCCACATGGATTCTTCCACAATTTCTTTTTCCTTAGTCGTAAAAGAAGGGTAGTCTTTGTTGGACCTTTTTCCTTCAGGTGGAGTCATGATATATGGCACCTGGTGATGAGTCAATAAACATTAATTCCATAACAATATAATCTAAAAGGAGAATTTTATTAATTATAACCATCTTGAAATCATTAAGTAATGTCTCAGGTTCGTTAAATAAAATATTAGGTTTGAGTTATTGTATATATATAAAATCTCTGTTGGGGACTGAGCAACAAAAAAATAAATGTATTACCTAAGACATTCAAATTAGTCCAGACAATCATAAGACTAAAAATAGAAAATCATGGGAAATGAGAGAAAAAAATCGTTTCTCATGTGCCATGCATGCTACCACTAAAGATTCTTATAACGTGCAACGCATATTTGCAAACTGTTTTGGCTGCAAAAGAAAACCAATGTTTTAGCTGCAACTGTCTGTGTTCTTTTCCTTTCCGGTAGGGAGTAGTTGAAGTTCTCCATGTGCATGCATTGAAAATGAGTTAATTGCATCATACGTCCTTAAACTATGATTCTCTTTCTAAGTTGGTCCCTAAACTTTTAAACATTTTAATTTCATTCCTAAACAATGAATATTATTCTAATTCTTTTTTCAAACTTTTGAACATTTCATTCTAAATTGGTTCCTAAATTTTTTCAACTTTTCATTTCATCCCAAATTTTATGTATATGCTAATCACATTCCGTGTTAATAAATCGTTAGACCAACCTATATTATTATATGTTTGAAAAAAATTAAAGTTTTGGTTAAACTATGGTTAAAACTAATTATATATTTGGATGAATTTGGGATGAAATTGGAAGATTTAAAATGGGATCAACTTAGAATGCGGGTCATTGTTTAAGGATGAAATTGGAATGATCAAAAGTTTAAGGACTAATTTAAAATGAATATCATGATTTGAGGATGAAATTAGAATATTCAAAAGTTTAGAGATCAATATAGATGAGGGTCATAGTTTAGGGACATATGGTACAGTTAACTCCATTACTTTAACACAAAATTTGGATCTTAATAAAATTTCCGCATCATAATCGGCATACAACTAGGGATACCATTGCTTGCTTACTTGTCATATGTTCAAATGATATAATTTGAATAAAATATATACTTTCTTTTTCTCAGCAAATATGATTTTATTAAATCATAAAGTTTTGCCTAAATGAGAATATCTCATTAAAGACATATTTAAGTTTAAATGGAGAAAAAGAGTACAACTCTTCAGCGAAGAATAAACAAATGAGACAACAATTTTCGAACACCCCCAACCACAAAAACAATCAAAGACAATAAACCACCTATAGGAGGGCCTCCCAAAATCAACCTGAAACAAAGCAAAAACACACCAACAGAACAAGAAAGGAGTACGCCTACTAATAAACAAAAGCTACGAAACAATAGAGAAACAGAAGAATTTTCAACAGAGGAACGAGAACAGACCAACTTCTAAAGGCTATTAAGGAGCTTGTTCGTTTCAAACTCTGTGCCAAAGGTTTTAATAGACTAGACTATGTTAATTTTAGACTTTGTAATTATTGGGGTATAGACTAATTCTGTAAATATGTGTTTATACTCCCAATTGGGATGACAGTTGTATGATGAACCATTTCTATTGGGTAATAAAATTCTACTTATCTAAAAAAAAAAAAAGCTACGAAACAACATCACCTAATGCATTGCTCTTAGAAGGCATAATAAACCCAGCCACCAAAACCAAAATCAAGAAACACCAAATAATTGCACGAGCCAGCAGCACACAATCAGGCTACTTATTCACCACCAAGCTTTAAACAACTTTGATCTCTGTTTCTCATCTTTAACGAGCTTCATAGTCGAAACATTGTTAGATCTTAAGACATGAGAGAACTGACTACAACCGAGCTTATTATATGCAAATTATATAACTTTAACTTATCTTTATATACGACGAGTTTATTATATTTTTTAGTCATTTCTGTTGATATTCATCTAATCAACGTACATGTGAATAAAATTTTAAAAAATTGTACCTTACATAAAAAAAATCCTAAATTTTGAAGGCATGAAACTATAAAACCGGACATTAAGTCATAATTCTTTTATAAATCTCATAAAATATACTTTGTAAAACAAGTTTTTCTATTTTATTAATAAAATAATATTTTAATATGTCACGTCAGACCCATTATTAGAAGTGTAACTTGTAATACGTCACTGGTCTCAAAATTTAAGGTCTTGGACTTTGAACAACTCTAATAACTTTAAAAAGTTACTTTTCTTACTATATGCAGGTGTGAAAAAAATTAAATAAGGAAAATTCAATAAAAATTTTAATTTATATGTTTGAACTATTTATTTTAAAAACAATCGTAATATGATAAAAATTCATATTTTACAATTTCTTTTTTATAAAATATTTTAGGAACATCATTTTAAAAAATAACACATGACCTCCACTTCTTTTAGAACGACATGTGTCACGTAAGATATAGACATTTAATTAGTTATAGTTTTATCATTTTTTAACTAGATTTTCTTTCAATATTTTTGTGTCGCCGTCCTCTTTCCTTTTGATTTTTGTTAAGCTTAAGATGAAATTAATTTTAATATTAGTTCTTGATCGTCGATGATTATTAGTTCTCTTATATTTATATTATTTCATTTATTTTTATTTTTTCTTGAGTTTTCTTTTAAATTTGAAAAAGAACATATGTTGTTGTGACACACTTTTCTCTTCTCTTGTGTTGCACACGTCTTCTTTGCTCTTATGTCACGACTCTTATGACTTTTGGTATGTTTTTCGCATATTTTTGAGGTCGTTTTGGTGCTCACATAAAGACCCTCACAATATTTATTTTTTGTTAGGTTTGTCGGTGATCAAGTATTGTCAGATCCCTCTTTGGTAAAAGGTTGTTTGTTGATATAATTAGAATTGTGTAGCGAAACAGTTTGTCAGATAATTTGGTTCGCTCACCACTACTTTATTACTTCGTAAAACATCTCGTTCGATAGAGACAATAATTTTTTATGCATGTTACTTGGTTTTTTAACGTTGATCGTCATTTTCAAAAGAATGTTTCGTATTTCTTTGTATCTTTAGATTTAATATATTTTATTTTTGTATGAATTTTTTATGACTATTATCCTCATTTTTCTCTCTATAATTGGGTGCATTGAAATTCTGATCCATTTCTTAATTTTTATTAATCAAAATCAGTTGTCATTATTAAAAAAAATAGTTAGATATTTCAAAAATACAATAAAATTAATTACATTCTTATTCTACATAACATAAAAGGATGTTAATCCTATCAAATTCAAACAACTTCAATTTTTGGAACAGTATTTTGAATCAGTAATAACATAACAATGGCATGTAACAGAAAGATTAGGGTTGGCCGTTGTTGTCCGTAAGAAGCATGGCAAGCTACGAGAGTGGCCATTTGCAACCCAGACTGCTGACCAATTGATGTTGTTCAAAACCCAGACAGGCAAAGCCATCCATTTCTTTGATCTTTTCTATATATTTTTCTTTTCTTTTTAATTTGTTTATATTTTCCTAGACTTTCTAATATAAACGCATCAAATTAATTACATGTCATTTCTGTCTACACTTTGCAGGAAAATAAGACCTTAATGTCGGCATAAAAATGATCTAAAAAGTTCAAGATAACGATATATAAATATAATATTTAAAAATATTATTGATCAGTTTCCTTTTTTCAATTGTATTAGCGGATCTAATTAGCCTTATAAACATATATTAAAAAAATCAAAATACTTTTACAATTTTTAGCCTGACTAAATTATCTCTATGGTTAAAAGAACAATTATTATTTTTTATAAGTCTTAGTTTATAGCATTAACGACTGCAACAAGGATGATTAAACGTTTATTATCAAATAATTGAGAATATTTAGAACAAATATTATTTTATAATTATCTTAATTTAATAAAATAATAATAATAAAATGTGATTTTTAGAGGTTGCTCGAACTACGATCCTCAAGAAAAATAACATTTTTTTATTATTATTTTAAGTTCACTCAATAAATTTTATAGGCGAGTGTTTTTAAGTTCTCTTGTGTTAATTGATTTTAAGTAGTCCTGTATATGGACCCATCGATGCAGATAACCAGACATTAAAATGTGAATGTTTTTTGCTTGGTATTCATGTGACCCTTTGTTTTGT